TACATTCACTAAACAAGCGCAAGCAAAACATATATCCACCAAATCATAAAATACGCAGGTTTCCCTAAGTGGCAAAAGGCTTATCAGCCATCAGTCATCACCAATTGCTTTTCCAACTTGGCTTATTAATAGTGACTATCACTCCTTCACAACCACTAAACCTCACATCATCTCTCGCGGACATCGAATATGGACGATCACTATATAGTGCTTTCATTTTAGTCTTAGAAATATTGATTTGAGGGATTAAATACGACAAATAAATATACATTTTCATATATTTCCATTTTATTCATATATATTAGTATCTGATAAAGAGGATGAAACAATAAGCCTAACCAATGGATTTCAAAAAATTGATTGGGAGTTACACAATTCAACCACAAAATTTCTACAAAACCAATAGGTAGAACAAACTACAAAAATTAGTCTTCATTTATTGCTGTACTTTACCCCCTATTATTAATAGTAACATTCATATGATTAAATCGGAAGTTATACAATGTCTATATATAATTTGGCTATAATTCTTGCATCAGTCTCCATCCAGTAGAAGCTTAAGAACTATTCCCAACCACGACCAAAATACTCATCCTTGATGAGACAATCGATCACCTTGAGAACAACATATGGATTATACAAAAGTATTAATGTGTCCAAACATAATAGTTACTTTTGGTGTAATCCATTATAGGTTAACAAGATAGTCAATTTCAAACTTAAATCCTAGCATCGAATAATACACTCAAATCTGGTGGATTCGACGTGGCTCATATGTGAATCCTTTATTTTTCTTGATGTTGTCTTAGATAATTATTTTGTTACCGGAATATTGTGAATTGTAGATTGTGGCCAGTCTCGACCCTGAAGAGAAGCAATAGAAGCTTGGACTTCCGGCCTCAGTTTAACCGGACTTACAAGTAGTGTAGTGGTTAATAGTCTGCTAAAAAGTCTCCTAAGTAAAAAGTTCGTCCTTTTTCATTCATTTATCGTTTTTCAAATTTTTATGACTAATGAACCTTAAAGATAGCCTCGAATTTTAATTTACTTCCAACCTTAGTATTGTTAAAGGACCGGACTGATTGTGGCACATGTATACTATTAGCAAAGCTCAAAGAGACGAGTTCAAAATGGCAAAATGATTTTCTGTTATTGATCTTTCTGTTACATGGTTCTTTATATAGTAACCATCAGCCGGTTTACAGTCAATAACCAAATGACCAATTTTATATTGAACGTCCAAACTATCTCATATGTTAATATATACCGAACTGTTTTCTAGTTTTCTTTGAATACGTACAGTCACATCAATTTTCTTGTTTTGATAAAGTATCGCACATCAGTTTTGTAAATCATACATAAAACAACATCGTGTATAGTGGTAATGAATCTTTGGTTGTTTTGAAAATCATAAAGATACATCAGACATGCAACTATGCAAGCATGCCCGTCTTAAAGATGTAAGAGCAACATTATCAGAGAGATTTGTTTTGGAGCCCTTAACATTGTTTAGTATTATTTTTATGTTTAGGGACTAAGCTAAGCGTTTTTGCTAAATGAGTTAATTATTGGTGGGACTCAACCTTGTCCCTTACATAATTAAATTGAAACATCAGCAACGTAAAATTCTTACAAGAAACACATCTAAGTTCTAACTCAACACAATCTCAACCTACTTATCCATCATTATTGGAGGAATAAAGTTTCAAACTTTGAACAAATACAAAAGCTAGTAGCCTAATTAAATTCAAAAGCACCAAGACAAAAGAGAATGACATATACCCTTTTGAGGTTGTAGATGAGTTTCTTATTCAGCTTCTTAGCTCTCCTAATTTCTCTTAACGTCTTACCAGACTCTTTCGCTCGTGGCACAACAAGACAAGAAGACTGCAGTTGTAGTTCTCTGCTTTGACCAACCTTCGTGTATCTTCATCCGTCCATCTAAAAAACAAAGACAAATCAAAATCAATTAGTAGTGATCGAGCTTTTAATCACCAGACATCACAAACAAAAGAGACAGAATCAACAGAACAAACAAATTATAATAACAAATAAAAGAGACAACATCAACAGAGACATAAAAGGACAAATAAGTTTGTATGCATAAAAGAACAAGACTGAATTGTATGCAAACAAAGAACAAGCATGAGTTAAGCTTTTGTGTTTACAAACATATATATAACGAAAGCATCATCGCTTCATCAAGTCCGTGACATAATATTCTGTATTTACACAAACACATACACAAGTAGTAATCAATCTTTTAATCACCAAACGTAATAAACACAATCAGCAGAACAACAAATCATAATAACAAATTCAGACCACAATCCTGTTTTCAAATTCGTTTCATACCACATCCTTACAAAATCTGAACCGATCAAATATATATAAACAAGAACAAGAGACATCATCATCTGTTGAATCTAAGACATTGACATAAAAGGATAAATACATAGTTTTACCTTTAAATCAATTTCAGCGATGAGAGCCACAGGCCGCAGAGATGTGGCAGGGATTTTTCATGGAGGTGAGCCGTCAAGGGGATTGAGACAAAAGCGGAATCTTCTAGAATAACGAGAGAGACGCGTAATCGTCGAGAGAGAAGGAAGCAAAAGGACGACGCCGTACATCCCTTAATTAAGGGCCTTTTGCAACGTTCCTTAACATTACTGATTTATTTTTGGCCCAAAAATATCTAAGGGACGGCCCAAATCCCTCTGATAATGTTGCTCTAAGGGCCTTGAGGAAAAGACGAACTAAAACCAATTTATTGGAGTAAATAATTTTAACAAAAAATGATCCCAATCTAAGCCCAAAAAATTAAAAAAAATTGCAACGGGTCCTGCAATTGCACCCACAGCACATATGCACAGAGCCAGACCTAATGCAAGCAGTGACGGCCCTGGATGTAAGCGGCACAAACACGTGCTTCCGGCCCATCACAAAATATCTAATTTTCCGGCCGTGATTTTCATAAATGCTTAGTACTCCCTCCGTTTCAAAATATATGTCATTCTAGACTTATTTTTTTGTCACAGATTAAGTGTCGTTTTAAAGTTTCAAGACAAAATTTATTAGTTTTATATAATATTTTATTTTTCTATTGGTTGAAAAGTGGTTAGGTGTATAGATAATAGTGTTTTTATCTTGAAAATATGTAAAATTAAATATTTCATTAATCTGTGTGAAAAAACCTAGAATGACAAATAAAGTGAAACGGAAGGAGTAATATTTTGCTCATAAAAAGTGAAGGTTCGACAGCTAGGTGTAGTTCTTGTGAGTTTTAGGTGCTCTCTACAACCCCATTTATTTCTAAAGCACTAAATTGAAAGCAATCAAGTCTTAATAAAAAAATTTAAACCATAGCTCTAGAAATAACCTACAGTCGTATAAGAGCTTTGCAGAGCCAAATATCAACATCAATTTTTGAGAGTTTTCCATAAAATTCTAGAGAAATAAAATTTAAAGTCACAGCAAAAAATCTACAGATTTTTTTTCCATAGCAAAAAAATTAAATATACAACCATTTCCAATTGAACCCTTACTCTTTATTTATAGACCATAATTAGAAATTTGTTTCCGGCCCTCAATTTTATCGGACCGGCACTGAATGCAAGCATGGTTGCAATTGTGTTATTGCTTGCGACAAGGAGCAGAGCCGACACACAAATGTGGTCATGAGATTTTGGCAGCCTTACTAAAAAATAAAATAGATTTATTTTGTTTTATTTTTTTTTTAATTTTGAAACAAAACTTAACTTAATTATTTATTTTCTTCAAAGGAAAATCAAAGTTACTAATTTTAAAAATATATTAATATATAATTTTCATTGTATTATTAAATTTATTTATATTTAAATCATAATAAGAAAAAAATATTTGGCTAGCCAAACTTCCTCATGCCAGACTTTGAGAGATTCCTTTCCATCTTCCTCCTCTTTGTGTGAGTGAAAAGTTCCATCAAAATCCCTCCTTGTGTGAGGTACTGTTCGTTTGGCTTCAAAGCCAAAGATCTTTGTCGGTTTTTTTACCGCTTGTTTCCTTGTGCAATGGTTCGTTTGGGATGTAAGGTACAACGAGACTCATCCAAATGAGAATCGAAGTTATGGAAAACTCAACGTCACGATATATGGTGACTATTTCCATGGTTGAAGATTTTGAAGGATAATCCCTTTGTGAGTTTACTCGTGTGTGGTACACTTAGAATCTCTTTCAACTTATTATCAAGTTTATCCAAGCTGTCTCTCTATCTCTTTATGGCCTTGTATTAAAAAATTCCATTAGGGACCTGTTCGTTTCGTGAATTGGATGAGAATTCCAGACGCAGCATCCACGCGCAGTAATTGGATGCAGCATTCAGATATTGTTCGTTCGCGATTCTGGAAATTTTGGATCATGCGTCTAGAAATTATATCTGGATGCAATTATGTTCGTTTTGTATTCTTTATTTTGTATCTGGATGAGTTTTATGTCAAATGACCAAAAACTCCTTATCTTCTCTTTTGGTCTAAACATGTATATAATTATATCTTAAAATTCAATTTTAATGTTTTAACTTGTAAAAAATTACGTTANGATTCTGGAAATTTTGGATCATGCGTCTAGAAATTATATCTGGATGCAATTATGTTCGTTTTGTATTCTTTATTTTGTATCTGGATGAGTTTTATGTCAAATGACCAAAAACTCCTTATCTTCTCTTTTGGTCTAAACATGTATATAATTATATCTTAAAATTCAATTTTAATGTTTTAACTTGTAAAAAATTACGTTAAACTACAAATAAAATAGACATAAATAAAAATAAATATTAAATTCAATTTTTCATGTTTTCTAACATTATAAAGTAACAATAATAAACATTAAACTCAAAGTATTGAAATAACAAAATAAAAACTCAAAGTCTTGACTCAAAACACAAAGACTGAAACACTCAAACCTGAAACATAAACCCTTGACATAAACCCTTGACATAAATCTTCAAAAGTCTTGAATACTCAAACCTGAAAAATATAGTAAACATATAGTAAGATACAAAATACTATCTCAAGCAACCCAAGAGCAATAACCACAGTTACACAATGCTGAAGCTGCAATATATCTTTCCTAAACCTCAAATAAAAGAACCAAACCACACTAAGCAACACATAAGCAAACGCCATATACACATAGAACTTCACCAACACATAAGCAAACGAAATGTGTCACTTTCAGTCACTTTCACATACTAGAACACATGCTTCTTTACAAGTTTGAGATGCGAGAGAGAGATGAGAATAAGAACCTGGAGGAAGTGACTACTTGATGATCACCAGCACAATACACCACACATCGAATATGTGAAGCTAATATGGAAGTCGACTTCCTCTTGCTATCCTTTCAGTGATTGCATCACGTCGAATCTCCATTGCTCTATCACCAGATGGAAGGTATGGAGTATGCTCAAGCTCTTCTACTACTTGATCACCATGATGTTCATACTCATTTACAGTTTCCCAATAAGTGAAATCACGGTCTTCATCAGATGAATCTCGAATAAAATTGTGAAGTGCCATAGTTGCTGTCACAATCTTCACCCACTTTTTAACACCATACTTCGGATGTTTTCTATCTAAAGTCCTCCACTTCGCTTTCCAAACACCAAATGTTCTTTCTATCACAGAACGTAAACTAGCATGCCTCCGGTTAAACAATTCTCTAGAGTTTGTTGGTGGTCCTCCCCTAGTAAACAGGTCAAGATGATACCTAGTTCTACGATGCGGACCTAGATAACCAGTTCTAGTTGGATAACCGGAGTCAACTAAATAGTACTTACCATCTGGTGGATGAGGGAAGAAGGGTTCATGTGTCGCACAATGTGTAAGAACTTTCGTGTCATGAGCTCTACCAGGAACTCCCACATATGCGTAGATGAATCGCATTTTCAGATTGCATATTGCGAGAACATTGATTGTCGGTTCTCCTTTCCTGCCTCTATACGGTTCCGGATTATCAGACGGAGGACGAACAGGTAAGTGAGTTCCGTCCAAAGCACCAATGCAGTCTTCAAAAAACGGCATGTACCTATAAACAAACAGGTAAGTGATCAATATCAAACGGCATGTACCTATAAACACAGTACATCTGAGAATTACGAAAAGTGTTAAGTCAGGTTTCAGAAAAGACATATCAAAATTCATGACGAAAGTAGGATTCATATGTACAAGGTAGCCACTGTAAATACATTGTTCCAGTAGATAGGAAATTATTCTACCAGCAGCCTCACTAACTACGCTAACTCAACACATAATATAAGTTTTTCAAGGTAATATAAAACAGAGATTTCTAGTAACTAATAATAAAAGTCCAGAACTGGGAGACAAGGCAAGAGAAAATATATACATCCCACAAGAAAGGAGAACCGCCTTGACCCTGGAAACCGAATTAAAAAAAAACAAGAGACAAAACGTATCAGATGCTTTTATTAAGAGAAATGTTACCTATCATTGTTTACTAGAACAGGACTTGGAGTATTAAACTCTCCTCTTGATGGCTTAATGATGTCTGCAGCAAGCTTTAATAGAGCAGAGAGAACTTCATCTAGTTTTCTTTTCACTGTATCCCCTGAATGTTGATATCTCTCAGACAAAGCTCGAACCGTTAAATCTTGTGCAACCATTTCAACAAACATTGCCACACTCTCTTCATGATACACGTTGCATGATTCCTCAAGTTTGTAGTAATGTTGAAGCGTAAAGCACAGATTCATAAAAGTACCTTGATTCATCCTCAAGATCTCAAAACATTGCTTGTCACTCTCAAACATGAGGCGCTGAACACGACGCCAACCTCCACCTCTGTTTGTTCTGAGTATTTGTCGAGGAAGAGGAGGAAGATTTGTAACTCCATAAACATCTTCTAACATATGATACATGATCTCTTCTTCTTCTAACATCAAATCCATATCATCATCCTCAGTTAGCAATGCGAAGGTATCCAATCCTGTTGTCTCGTTGAAAATCTGCAAAATAACAAGTAAACATGTTAGCAATGCCATATAGAGTAATAAAACGAGACTTAAACATAAGACTTAAACTAGACAACTTCAAATTGTCATACATAAAGACTTAAACGAGACTTAAACATAAGTAATATCATAAATAAACATGAAAACTTCAAATTGTCATACATAAAGACTCAAAGGAGAACACAAGACTCAAACAAGAACACAAGACTCAAACAAGAACACAAGACTCAAACAAGAACACAAGACTCAAAGGAGAACACAAGACTCAAACTCCAGATAGAGAGAACACAAGACTAAAGATATCTGCTTTTCCCGGTCTCTTCCTCCAAATATATAATCTTATTTTCGTCATCTTCATAGCTTAGGAATGTCTGTCGATTTGTAGCAGCTTCCTTGAGATGTCTCATGGCAGCTTTGTACAATGGAGACCACATTTTGATACTAGACAGTGAATGCAAGACTCTCATAGCCTTAAGCTGACTGCAACTCAAATCTGGATGGCTTTCTATCAGGTGGTTTTTGTGAGAGAGTATCTCATCACGTGATTGAAGACTACTTCTCATAACCTCTGCTGCTTGTTCTGCACGCCTTTTCCGAGAAGGCTTTGGGACAGAAGAGGCTCGTGGAGCATTGGAGTCTCGTGGACCATTAGAGGATGAGGGAACATCGTCGTTGGTTTGCATTGCTGGAGGATTGGTTGGCCTAGCTTCAGATGCAGCATCGTCATTCTCTACCTCTGTATTGTCTAACTCGTTTTCACCTTGCTGAGCACTCCATCCTTCTGCTCCACTTACATGAACCCCACTAAAAATATGTTCCATTAAATCTGTGTTTGGCACTGCTTTATCTCTGTATTTCTTAGCTCCAGGCCATTCCTAGAATCAAATAACAACCATCACTTAAAGTTCTACTTAGCATAAACCTAAAGTGTTAACAGATTCTAAAGTGTTTGGTATNCACCTTGCTGAGCACTCCATCCTTCTGCTCCACTTACATGAACCCCACTAAAAATATGTTCCATTAAATCTGTGTTTGGCACTGCTTTATCTCTGTATTTCTTAGCTCCAGGCCATTCCTAGAATCAAATAACAACCATCACTTAAAGTTCTACTTAGCATAAACCTAAAGTGTTAACAGATTCTAAAGTGTTTGGTATATACCTTACAACGCTGCTCCCACCAATTATCACTCATGTCTATTGACCCATCTGGATGATATCCAAGTCCAGTTCTATTGTGAATCAACCTCTTCATAGCTCCGTATTGCTTCTTCAAAGAGTTAAACTTGTTCCTAAACTTTATCCATGGATGCTTCACCCCATATGTCTCATTAAACTTATCAGCAATTGTCTGTTTCGCAGTGTCATTGAGAACCTTATTTCTCATATTGCCTTTCAGTTCTTCTTCAATTCTTAGTTGAAGTACAAACCGAGTTTGTTCATCAGTCCACAATACAGTCTATGAACAACACAAGAAGACCATCTAAGCAATACAAAGACTAACTAAATTCAACTAAATGCTAAACTAAATGCAACACAATAGCGTGTTGAGAATGACTTACATCGTTTCCAGGGACAGATGCCATTGAAGCTTGAACAGAAATCACTGAAACAAAAATAAAAAACAAAAACGAGTTAAGATAACAGAGCTGTACAAACCAACACACAAAAGACCATACTTAAAGACTTGTGCAAACTAATAACAGAGCTTAAACTATTCTAAAGAGCTATTCTCATACCATATTAAAGCAACAATATATTTGTGTATGGCCTACTTAGCATGCTGATCAAAGAAAAGGGAAGAAATTAAAGAACGAATGGTGAGTCCACATTTTATGAATATCATATAATGATAAAATTTTGCCACTTAAGAAATAAATTGCAGTTAATTAAATAATGAGTACTACTAGCTCTCAGTTCTAATAAAACGCAGTAACTGCCTTTATAGCTTTGTCTTAGCTTATTAAAGTATCTTTTATTCCTTTTCCGTCTAAACACAGTACATCCTCCTATGATTATAACCGTAATGTCCAGTTTTCGCTTTATTTAACACTGAACAGACAGTTTTTAATCATGCTATAAACTGAATATTGTAGTCACTAAAAACATTCAAAGCTTGGAACTTTTAACACCATTCAGAAACTTTTAACACATGGTAAAAGAAGAAACTAAGAAAAGACCAAGCAATAAACATAAGAATTGTACAACACACACATGTGCCACCAAAAAAAAAAAAAATCAAACCTTTCATTCCTAATTCCGAGAAAGTTCAATTATTTATTAATCAGATATATGTCCACAAGTAATCACTACCAAACGTAATCAAAGACCTCACATTTCTCTACACTTTATTAGTGAAAACGAATACTTACAAGTTTAATAGCAACTTCTTCAACCACCACCACCAAACGAATACTTGAACTGAGAGCTACTACTAATGGTAAAGCTTAAACCAATTTCAACCACCACCACAAGTAGACTTACTTCTTGAAGACAAGCAACAAACTAAGAAAGTAAAAAATTGGCAAAAGCTAACCCTGGTAACAAGTAAAAGAGAAAGCATTGAATAATAGGAGCCAAGTTAATGCAGAAGCATGGAATATACATAAACCGTTAAAACCGGATTCTAACCGAACTAACTTTCTCACCAACAACGCAACAATAACTTTCTCATCACATTGACCAATCAAACAAATCACAAACCCAGAACCATATTAAACTGAAAACTAAACAGGGTCACAAAGCAAGAGACTGGAGCGATGGGTTACCTCAAAGGAAGAGATGGGTTTCCGAGATCTGTTGTTTCCTGCTAGAGTGAGACCAAAACACACTGCCTATACAAGAACACTGTAATGAATTATAAACAGTGTAAAAATCTGAATTTAAACACACTGCCAATTTCACAAAGCTCAACACAATACAACTTTACTTTTCACAAAGCTCAACACAATACATCTTTACTTTTCACAAAGCTCAACACAATACCAACACAATACAACACAATGAAGCATAAATTAAGAGGAAGCTTACCAGAACAGAGACAGTTCGAGATGCGTCAGAGAAAGCTTGAAACCTTGAAACTTGATGCTAAGAAAAACAAAACAAATGAGATCTCCAAAAGGGTATGTAAGTTACAGATTGAAAGTGACGAAAACAACATAAAAGCTTACCAATAGAGCGTGAGAGAAGGAGAGACTGCGAGAGAGAAGGAGAGACTGCGAGAGAGAAGGAGAGACTGCGAGAAAGAGAGAGACTGGGAGAAAGAGAGAGACTGGGAGAGAGAGAGAGGAGTACGAGAGAGAGAGGACTGCGAGAGTTTTACGGCGACTCAGATTTGTTTTCATGGAGATTCGAGAGGTTGAAGAGAGGTTGGAGAGAGGAGTCAGATTTGTTTGACGGCGACAAAAGAATTAGGTTAAGAAATCAAAGGTAAAACTTTGTAAATTTTAAGATAAAACAAGGGTATTATCGACTTTTAGTACTTTTGGATGAGTTTACTGTAGTTGGAAACGTTGAAAACTCTCATCCAAAATTCCCGAAAATTCGGGATGAGCTTTAAAAATAATCTGGATGCCGCGTCCAGCTAAACCTCTTATTTCGCACCAAACGAACATCGGCCCGCGTCTGCGTCTGGATGCCGCATCCAGTTCACGAAACGAACAGCGCCTAGGACTGCACATCAAGTTCTTGATGTTAGCTGTTTATCCTTGTATCCGATTAATTTAATTAATGAAAAGAGTTGTGGTACATAAAATATTTTAAATTTTATAATCATCTTTATGAAGTAATTTTTTGTTTTAAGTTTTTGTTTAATAATTTATTTTAGATTTAACACTAACTATATTAATGTAACTATGTATATATTAAATAACTTTCAAATAGAAGCCTCACAAAAGTGAATATCCCATTCAAATGTTTCAAGAGAATGTTCTGAGATTCAACTCTGCTGGCAAAAGACAAGCACTCACATATCCCTCCATTTTTACTAGTCAAATATGTAACTTTTTAATATACAAAATTTTCTACAAAAAATTATTCATTCCGTTTCAATTTAGTTGTCGTTTTGAATTTTTGTACACAAATTAAAAAACGTTTAATTTTACATATTCTCTAAATAAAAACACTACTACCTATAAACCTAACCAAATTTCAACCAATGAAAAAATAAAATATCATATAAAGGTAATAAATTTTGCATGAAATTATAAAATAACATTTATTTTGAAACAAAAATTTAATTTACAACGACGTATAAACTGAAACGGATGGAATAATAAAAAGAGTCTCTAAACCAGAGATCTCGCCAGCTCAACTGGAAATGACCTTAATTCGAAAGAAGAAAATGCTATCAAGATACTGAAGCTACATTTTTTAATATAGTCTTTGTGTTCTTATGACATTACAAAAAAAAAAATTGTAGAGGAACTCTTAAACAGAACAAGTGACCTCCCGACCTAAAAAGCTAATGTTGGAGTCTTTTGATCTCATCTTCTGGTTAGTTTCTCTGTCTCTACTTCTTCGTGCATCCAGCACCAAATGTTGTCTGAACGTTGTGATGAAGGCCTCAACTCTCTCGTTCAGCTCCTCGTTCGATAACCTCCCTGGCTCAAATTCATCTTCTTTTTCATAAGAGTCTACTAGATCCTTGTGAAGCAAGCAATCTTTCACTGTTTCCTCGAATTCAGGACAAACCCTTTTCGTCTCCTCCACAACACAGTTCTTGATCACTTCCTTTGGTTCTAGGAAAACGGAACAAGCTGGTTCCTCCACTACCCTTGTCTTCTTATTCTTCTTCCCTCGCATCATCCTCAACGTACCTCCTCGACCAGTCTTGAAATCGTGATGAGTCTCGCCGGAAACAGGACGAGTCGATGTGAAGTAAAGGGCTAAGAGGAGGACGTTGAGAATAAGAAAGACCAAACAACGCCATTGCTCGATCAAATAGGAAACAGAAGAGAAATGTTTTAGACAAGCCATTGAGAGAACAACGAATGCAGTCAACAACGACGTACACATGTTCTCGTCCTCCACTCTAAGGTCTCTCTTCATCTCCAAGATTACTACTATCTCTCGCTCTTTCTTTCTATGGTCTGTTTCTTTCTTCCTCTGATCGATGAAGCTGAGATTCTTATACAAAATATTTCAAGATTCCTAAAGGTGGGTCCGATTGTGGAAGACACAAATGGCGAACAGAAAGAACAAAATGAAAAGACAGGAGAAGGAGAAGCAAAGGAGGTGTAGGAGACAAGAACAGGCATGCCCTTTGTATCTAGTTTTATTACAGACATTGTATTATTACTTTCTTCTCAGGCTTTTCTGATTTTCTCTGTTTTTCTGCTTTTACCTTGGGGACCATTCTTCCTTAAAACAATCATTTTACAACTTCCACTATGCATAAATGTTTTTTAAATTTTGTTTTTTTTTTTTAAAAATATGCTAATTTAATCTACACATCAAAAGAAGTTTTTTCAACCTTAAATTGATAAACTGGTTTATAAAAAATTATTCAAATTTGTTGTCCAAAAAAAAATTATTCAAATTTACATCATTGTATAGATACATGCAGTAGCTCACAATGAAAAAATATATGTGAAAGTAGTTATTGCCTATTGGGTTTCTATTTTATTATTGAACAGAAAAATCACAGAAGTGTTAGCTACTCAAAGGTATGTGTTCAATGGGGAACCGCATGCTAAGCAAAGAGGTGGGGGTAGATTAGTTTTTGCAGAAACTGGGAATTATGTAAACAAAATATATATACTCCATATTTTCATAATGTACGATGTTACGTATAAAAGCACAGAGATTAAGAATTATTTTATTAAGATATTAAACATATAATTTTTAAATAATTTAACTAATCACAGAATTTTTTTAAAAAAAATATTGGTTAAATATTACTAAAATGTCAAAATATTTTCATCTAAAACATTACATTTTAGGAATATGAAATAGATGGAGTATATTTTTTATTGAGATATTAAATAATATAATACTAAGGAAAATTTTGGTATATCTTACTAAAGAAAACAATAATAATAAAAGGAATTCCACGCCTGCTGCTCTGTATTGTTGATTCCTTCACAGCAGTGTGGCCCCCCATGTTTACTCGTATTTACAAAACACATAATAACAACATACAAGGAGCTGAACATGGTTTCCCTTAAAGTACTAACACGAACCCGTCAAAATGATTTTCATCATTCCCGGAACAGAGTTAATGTTGAGAGAGAAGTAAGTATCTACAACCTCTCCCATGACAAGGATTCAAACGTTCAACAACTTTGTGAAAAACTTATATTCGAGCTGGGCTATTTCCGTAAAATGGGCTGGATTATTTAAGAGACAATGGGCCTTAAAACTTCAAAAAAATTTAGCATCGGTAATGTGGAACTGTTATGACTTTCTCTGCCATTTTGGTTAATTACACTTTTTGAACACACAATTTTCAGCTGGTTATTGATCATCATTAGTTCAACTATTTAGGAAAAAATATTTAATAGATATTCTCATATCGATATTATGCAAATCATAGTTTATTAGCAATATATAAAATACCACATTGATAGATATGAAAATACTTAAGTGATAGCAACAATTAGTTTAAAGGAGGTTGGTCAATAAAGGAAGGCCATTGGAAGAGAGAATATTCTGCTAAGATTTTGTTTTTGGATGGTCGTATGATTTTCAGAGCAATTGTGATCATGTATAGGTTAGTTAACAACTATTTAAAAAGGAATAGTATCATTGAATTATTCCTACTTGTTGAATTTAAAAGTGGATATTTGACCACACCAAACCCATACAAGCCTAGAACCAATTTTGCTGTCACCAAAGGACTACGGTGACAACACTCACGCATGTAAACAGTAAAGTATTAAACTATTGATTATCAAAAATACAAATGGATTATGCATTTCTATCAATTGATGTTTATAATCTTTTGTTTTACATCGTTTTATATGTAAAAATAATATTGCAAAAAGCTGTGTTCGAGGTCCGACCAGAAAATAACACACGTTGTCCATAATAGATTTGCTTTAGGTTTGGAATCTTTTAATATTATAAAGTTAGGTATACATATGTAATAAACTTGAAAAAAATGTTGGTTGAGATTGAAATCAGTGGTTATATTTAAAAGGATACAACTAAAACTATTTAAATCATTGAGAGAGAGGAAACTTGATTTTGAAGTCATAAACCTTATTTTTATTTAATTAAGATGATGCTCTGTGTATGATCATTAATCTACATGCCAAGTCAAACTTAAGAAACCAAAAAACAACCATATCATTCTTAATTATCAACCTTACAAGCTGTTCGAATATTTATGTACTACAAAAAGGAAATAGAGAATGATGAACAATCTCCATTTTAATTACTGTTTCAAAACATAAAATTGCAAAAAAGAAAAAAAATTGTATTAATTTTCCGGCCATAAAATGAACAAGAACATAAATACAAAAAAAAATAAAAAACAACAAAGCCGACGACTACTCTGCATCTATCTCCAACCCTTTTCGACGACCGTTCAACGCGTCTTGTCTCTCTCTCTGCAACTCCATTAGCAGCTACCCAATAAAAACTTTAATTCCAATCCAAAAACCCAGAAAGACCTCTCAACACTTCATCCATGGAGATCATAAAGTTTCCACTTTTATCAATCATCATCTTCCTCTGTTTCTCCCCCGCCATGTCTGCCGACGAAGACGACATAAGATGCCTACGTGGAATCCAAACCTCACTCACCGACCCTCAAGGAATCCTCAAATCATGGAACTTCGCAAACACAACTCTCGGCTTCCTCTGCAACTTCGTGGGCGTTTCTTGCTGGAACAATCAAGAAAACAGAGTCATCAACCTCGAGCTTCGAGACATGGGTTTATCTGGTCGGATCCCTGAGTCTCTACAGTACTGTGGGAGCTTACAGAAGCTCGATCTCTCTAGCAATCGAATCTCTGGTAACATCCCTCAAAAGCTCTGTTCTTGGTTGCCTTTCTTGGTCTCTCTTGATCTGTCGAGTAATGAGTTGAACGGTGAGATTCCTCCAAGTTTAGCTGAGTGTAGATTCTTTAACTCTCTGGTTCTGTCTCATAATCGGTTATCTGGTGAAATCCCGGTTCAGTTATCGTCTCTAGAGAGATTAGCTACCTTCTCTGTTTCCAACAATGAGTTAACCGGTCGGATTCCCTCATTCTTTGACTCGCCTAAGTACTCATCTGATGATTTTAGTGGTAATAAAGGTCTCTGTGGTCGTCCTTTATCTTCAACCTGTGGAGGGTTAAGCAAAAAGAATCTCGCGATTATAATCGCAGCTGGCGTCTTTGGTGCTGCTGCTTCCATGTTGTTAGCGTTTGGTGTTTGGTGGTTTTATTACAACACGAGAAATAAAAGTAGTTTACACGAAGAAGGAGGAGTTAGTAGCTTAGCTCAGAGACTTGTTAGTCATAAGCTTGTTCAAGTGACCTTGTTTCAGAAGCCTTTGGTTAAGGTTAAGCTTGGTGACTTGATGTCTGCGACTAACGGTTTCAGCTCTGAGAATATTATCGTCACAACTAGGACCGGTACGACGTATAAGGCGGTTCTTCCTGATGGCTCGGCGCTCGCGGTGAAGCATTTGAGTGAGTGTAAGTTAATGGAGAAGGAGTTTAGGTATGAGATGAATCAGTTGTGGGAGCTGCGTCATCCTAACTTAACACCACTTCTTGGGTTTTGCGTTGTGGAGGAAGAGAAGTTTCTTGTTTATAAGTACATGTCTAACGGCACGCTTAACCGGTTGTTGGAGGGAGAGGGTGTTGAATTGGATTGGTTAACTCGGTTTAGGATCGGTTTAGGTGCTGCAAGAGGTTTAGCTTGGCTTCACCATGGATGTCGTCCACCTATACTTCACCAAAACATTTGTTCAAGTGTGATTCTCATTGATGAAGATTTTGATGCAAGGATTATAGATTCTGGTCTTGCTAGGCTTATGGTTGCTTCAGACAATAATGAGAGTAGTTTCATGACTGGTGACTTGGGTGAGTTTGGTTATGTAGCTCCAGAGTATTCCACCACAATGGTGGCTTCATTAAAAGGTGATGTGTATGGATTTGGAGTTGTTCTCTTGGAGTTGGCTACAGGGGTGAAAGCTCTTGGGAGAGAAGGTTTTAAAGGGAGCTTGGTTGATTGGGTGAAGCAGCTTGAGAGCTCGGGGAGACTCGTTGAGGCATTAGATGAAGACATTCGAGGGAAAGGGTGTGATGAGGAGATTGTGAAGTTTGTTGAGGTTGCTTGTCACTGTGTGGCTTCAAGGCCTAAAGAGAGATGGTCTATGTTTAAGGCGTATCAGTCATTGAGAGCTATGGCTGAGAAAGAAGGGTATTCGTTTACAGAACAGGATGAAGACTTCCCTTTGATCTTTGACACACAAGAGAACGAGACAGTGTGAAGTAAAAACCATATCTTGAGGTATTATTTTGTGTATAATCATCTTGTACTACTTCCTTATGTCATGTTAGAAGATGCATGATTCTATAAAGGTTCTTGAAAATGTATTTGTAGACTTATGTTATTATTGTAAAAGAACAAAGTGTATATGCTAAGTGGCTTTCCTTGTGTTCCCTTCAGAATAATCTGAAAATGGGTATAGTCAGGTGCCTAGTCATGGTTGAGATGGTTTTCTTGAAAAAATTAAGGAATTTGAATCGGCTTAAAACGTTCTAAATCTATTAAAACAGTCTAAATCGATTTAATTTGGTTTAATATCAAGCAATGATGGTCGCTCAAATCCATAAATATTTATCTATTTTTTGTAATTCATCGAAATTTTTTTACTACTGTATTAAACTTCAAGACTAAAATTATCTAATATAAATGTAAAATATATAAAAAATAAATCAATAATTCGTTGATTCTGAATAATCCATGTAACTGTTAGTCATCTACTAAGCGCGTAGTTACTGTCTAATGATTTTCTTGGACATTACTAAAACATATCATGTTTGCTTGCTTTGGTGTTGATAACTAACCGAGACAACAACATTTTTTTGAAGAGTGACAAAACAAACTTTCACTTGTCTTCTTTTAAGAACCTAAAGGCACTTGCAGAACTAAAGGCACTTGCAGAACTAGAATATGTGTCCCATGCAGAACAGGATAAAGAGGTGTTTTCTCTGCAGAATCTTTACTTTAGGGTCTGTTTATCAATACAGTCAAAATCAAACCCTGAAAAAGAAAGCTAAAGATTGCAAGAAAGAGAGGCTGTGCAACTATGCATTCACTCCTTTTGTATTTTCACTTTGTCAGATTCCGAAAGTTCAGAAGAACCCAAAAATATAAAAAATAGATGTGATTTTAAAGTTGTACAAGGACAAGGCATAAATTATAATAATAAAGATCAGTAATTTAAGGAGAAATATGAGTTTTTGAAAACAGAGCAACTTTAGTTTAATAGTTTGCTTTAGCCAGAGGAAACACAAAAGCAAACTTTAAATTATCAGATTTTACAAAAGAAAAGGCAAAAAGACACATATGAGGAAAATATGAGAGTTAGATAAAAAGACACAAGCCTATAATCAATACAAATTTTATTACAAAACCCTAAAAAGTCCTTAAAAGTCTTAATATCTGCATCAATGTTCTCTACACCTTCACTTTTAAAAGTTTGTAATCTCCAGACACAATGTTCCCAAAAAGAAAAAGAGAGCAAGACTTCACCTTCCAAAATGCCACAAAGCACAGAACAGACTTCACCTTTGCAAAAGAGTCCAAGGCTTCACAAGCCATAAGTTCATAGCATATATTTGAATCTGAAGTTATGGACTGCCCCATTAAAAAGCAGCTTCTTTGACGTGAAACACAATTGAGCTTGTCGAGTTATCCACTATGTTGTGTGAAAAAGATAGAGAAACTGAAGATGAACTAAGCCCACAAGAGACAAGCAATATAATGACATGAATTATATATAGAGAAAGTTTTGCATATCACATACACGTCATATATATTGAAGCTAGTCAGCTAGATCATACTCGTGGTGGCCGTCTCGAAGTTTCTGCTTTCCTATAGAGATAGTTTTGAAATAAAAGTTCAGTAATGTTCAGTCTTAGCTAAAGTGGTGCCTTTAGTTATCTTATAGCATAGAAATTAGAGAAAGAAGTTTCTACTGTTACATGATAACATTATCTTAATTCTAGAGACAAATAATGGAAAGAACATGAATTCAGCATGCTAATAATCTTTCTAGAAACAAGTGATTTTCGGTATCTGTGTAAAGTTACATCCAAGAAAATTTAGAATTCAGCAAAAACTAAAAACAAAACAAATATTAGAAGATTAGTTTTCTTGTATAAACATACCTAAACCATAGTGTTCAAAAAAAACATACATAAACCAATTTGTTTTCAAAAAAAAAACATACTTAAACCAACTTCAAGATACCAAACTCAAATAAGAAAATATAGATACAAACTCTGAGAGAAAATATGATGAACCTGTTGTGGATAGGATCAGCTCCATTTGGAACTTTCCGCTTGCTCACATGAAACAGATTCACATCCTTACCACTAAACCTCAAAGTCTTGACCTTATCTGTTGATGGAAGACTTGTTGCAGCGTCTGCCAAGATACCAACAAGAAGAAACACAATAATACCAAGAGACACAACAGCTCTAACCAAAGCTATGATGCCATTTCCACCCATACTGCAACGTATGTCCCTACAGCTGAACAACCAAACCCAAGAATAAACTGAGCAGAACATCCATTATGTTGGTGAAGTGACTGTCACATAAATAGAGAGAGAGATATGGACATAAGAAGCTAAAAACAAGCATTTAAATTGTTTTTTATACCTTGGAAAGACAAATCAGTGATTGGCCCTATTTAAAAATGAAACACACAAAAGCAACATCAAACATAGGTAGGTGTCCACGTAGAGAGAAAAAAAGGAAGCAAGAAGAAGAGAAAGCTATGGAAAACATATCTTTATGTAACATATGGGCCCTGTTAAGTCCCTTTTTATTTGCTTTGAGATGTGAGTTTTCATGCAGGAAACCATTGGGGACCTCACAAGCTTTCCTAACTACATATATTTTAAGCCATTATAAAGCATATGACAGTGTAACATTTAAGACTGAGTATTAGCAAGCCTACTACTTTCCTTACCACTATCTTAAGTCACTTGGATGTTTCTTTAATTTAAAACAATAAGAAAAATCAATCTAGATTGCATAAGATACAAACCTGTGAAAAGGAGCTAAAGCTACAAATTTTCTTCCTTGTTAAGTATTCATTCCTTACTAAGAACCAATTAGCAGTAAATAAATGTATGCCTCTTGAAGATAAATTGGAAAATTATACGTCAAAGCAGATGACATAATAAACTTAAACTGATTCAGAAACATATCCAGATTGTGAAGAAAAAAAATCTATATATGATTGACAGCTAGGGAAGATGGAGTCAGTTTTGTTTCTATGTCACAAGCATACTTCCTTTTGGCCTTGGTGGGAAAGAGAACTGAAGCTAGCCTTGTACATAGTAAAGCCAAAGTTTAAAACAGACATGACCCCACAAATTTCTTACTATATATATGTTTCCCCTATATTTTGTTAGGGACGTTACACATGATCAGGATGGTGTCCTTCTAGTATTGATTCTTTTAGTGATTCTGTGAGCAAAGGCATCTCAATATTTCCCTCTAGAGATTTCAAGCTGCATGTTCTATGTAATATTTGGTTACCAAAGGAGAATAAATTAGAAAGAAGGGAAGAAAGATTCCACACATACGTCAGTTAAGTCACTTTCATATAGGTTATGTTTCAAGTTAAAAGAAATGCTTAGGATAGTTGTTGATGTACATCATACAAACATATATAAAAGTGTGCACAGCTATATTTCTGCTTCACAAACACAGAAGGCCGACATACACCATTACTAATATTGAGTATATACATTATAAAGTGTGCACAGCTATGTTTCTTACGTGCTGTCATGTTTAAGGTCAGGTCTTAAGTAATTAGTCCATCTTAATCTACAGCTCTTTCCACATTGGTTCAGGCCTGCTTCCTTGGGGATCAAACTCCATTTTCCTACACCATGGATTGGAACATAAGCAAGGATCTTAGCATCTTCTTCTGCGGTCCATAGACCTTTCTTGACATTGGATTTGTCATAACATAGAGGCCTTCCCATTTTTTTTAGTATTCAGACACAAGAGAAAAGATGAAGCTCAGAAATGTGTCTGAAAGTAGCAGAAGAATCTAGTTACTTTTATTCTTAAAATTTACAACAAAATTAGAAACAAATAACTGTAAATTTCATTTGTAAACTTTTGTTCATACAAAAATTACATCATGTATTCACGACTCACTGACCTGTTTTATCTCATATAGAAATTACTCCCTTAGCGCCGTTTTAAAAGTATGGATAGTAGTTGTATTTTGCATATACTATATTTTTTTTTTGTTTTGCAATATAGTTTTGGAAGGTGTGATCCCTCAGCTTTTTGAAGAATGAAAGACAATGAATCTCACCCACCTTAACATGGATGGCTAGCTGATATATCTCCGACACATCTTTCCTTTATGATTCCAACCTAATATTATTATTACCAGAGGTCTTGACTGATATTTGAAAGTATGTATAGGAGAAACGATTGGAAAAGAAGAAAAACTAACTTGATTTCATATAGATGTAAAGATCAACTAGATTTTGGCCCGCGCGCCCGCACGGATGTATTTTTCAAAATAATATTGCTATTTGTTTTTTATATTAGTATATATATCATATACGTGTCATCATATAATTAATAGTATTTTATACATATCATAATACAAATTATGACTGAGTTTGCGGGTCGACCTGCTCCGCTGCGAATTGAATCATTTTTTTATTCAAAAATTTGACATCCAAGTAGAAATTTATTATACCTAAACCCGTCATGTTTAAATTAGTGAGTAAAAGTTTAATATTTCTATCACAAATATATTTCACAAAATGTATTCCAAATCATTTAAACTTTACTTGACATCATAATATTTCAAAGTGCGGATATTATTATTTTTTAATTCTATAAAAAATTAATAGTTAACGGATTATGTGTTTTTGTATGAGATAACCTATTATGTTTATGATTTGTGGAAGTTTATTTTGCTTTGTAGTTTATAAAACAGCGAAGATATTCATTTAATATCGATTTCTATATTTTTTAAAATGTGGGTTTAATATTTAAAAATTATTTTATTGATTAACAACATAAATTTAAAATATTCTTAGGAACATCACTATATAATTAGAAAGTTCCTGATATATTTTGTAATCAAATCATATAAATTTGCTAAGATAATGAATTACATTAAGACAACTATCCCAAATCTTACCTAGAAAATAAATATAAAATGTGAAGATAATGAATTAACATGAGATTAATAACAAAAAAATAAGTGTTAAAGATAAAAAATAAAAGAAAATAAAGAAATATGAAATCATATTTGGCTTCAAAAGATGAATCATTATTATAGGTCCTCTGCACATAAACCAAAACCAGAATCAGAAAACAAATAAAATATGTGTATATATATATATATAAGTCTTAACATTCTAAAATATAATAAATTTACTAAATCCAAAGCAGAAAATAACATTATAAAAATCCAGTGACTTCGTTTCTCTTCTATTAAGAATTTTTGTAAAGAATAAGAAGGTAAATTATAATTATGTTCCAAATTATTATAAGATACCGAATCATCACTAAGTTCCTAAATAATAGATAAATACCTAAACAATAGCGAAATATAATTAACTACGTAAAGATTAGATTAGGCTAACAATAATATCATATCGTTATTAGACTATAGATTAATAATATGAAGTCCAACTTAAAAATCCACCTTGAAGAAGTTTTAATGCTTCTGTTTTAATATGATACTCCCTCTGAATTTATATGTAGGATGTTTTGACCATTTCACACATATTAAGACAATAATGATTTGCAATTAATTTTTTCATTACAATTAAGTTTTATTGCATGTAATCTATGGCACATAAATGCACTTGCACGTAACATACAAGATTTAAATGATGGCTAATACTACGAGATGTGTTTTGTTTTTCAAAATGGCATATCTTTTGTTACATGTTTTTATATGGAACTATCACTTCTGTTTGTTCTTTCATGAATTCATGTATATTTTGTTTCTTTATTTTTTTAATTAGCTAATTATTTAAAATACAATGGCATACTGTACACGTAATGGCATATATTTTGTTGCGTGTTTTTATATGGAACTATCACTTCTGTTTGTTATTTATGTATACATAAGAATCACAGAACAATTATTTTGTTATTTTGTAATTTTGTCTTCATTAATGAGTAGATATAACTCAGTTATTAAAATATTTGCAACAGGAGAAAACATTGACGTGCCAGAAGGTCTTGAAGAAGCTAATACTCATAAAAGAAAATAAATGACAGATGGAGAAAGGGTAGAGATCTATCTTGCATTGTTGGAGAGAAGTGTCAATGGAATTTTAAACACATCAACGACAACAGAAGTTTCAGATCTAATTTCAGTCCCCTTACAAACGGTCCAACGAATTTGGAAACGAGCCAAAAATACTACTAGTGGAGAAGTTGTTGATGTATCACCTAAGAGGAAAGGAAATTGTGGTAAAAAGAAAAAGCAAATTGACCTTGAGCAATTTGCTAATATCCCTCTCCATCGTCGCACAACGTTAAGGTCACTGGCAGCATCTTTAAATGTGAGCCATGGGTTATTGTCTCGATTTTTAAAAGAAGGGATCATTAAGCGACATTCAAATGCCATCAGACCATCTTTGAGTGAAGGTAATAAGAGAACTCGGCTAGAATTTTGTGTCTCGATGCTTGATAATGCTACTTTACCCGATAATCCAAAGTTTATTGATATGTACAATATTATACATATTGATGAAAAGTGGTTTTATATGACAAAGAAGACAACAAATTATTATTTTTTTCCTGTTGAAGAAGAGCTGCCTCGCACATGTCAAAGTAAAAACTACATCCAAAAGGTGATGTTTTTAGCTGCCATGGTGCGTCCAAGATATGATGGAGAAGGAAATGAGATTTTTTCAGGAAAAATAGGAGTGTTTCCATCTGTTAGGATGCAACCAGCTCAAAGACGGAATAGAAATCGAGAGGCGGGTACTTTGGAGTCAAAGGTAATGACTTCCATTAAAAGAGAAAATATAAATGAGTTTTTAATTGAGAAGGTGATTCCGAAAATTAGGGAAATGTGGCCACAAGAAGATTTTGGGAAAAATATTTATATTCAACAAAACAACTCACGAACACACGTTTATCCGAGTGATGCAGAATTTCAAGCAGGTGCTTCTGATCATGGTTTTGATATCCATTTGATGTGTCAACCACCGAACTCGCCCGACTTGAATATTCTAGATCTTGGATTTTTTCGTTCTATTCAAACACTACAGAACCAGGTATGTCCCAAGACTATATGAGAACTAGTTTCTGCAGTTGAAGATTCATTTGATGTATATTCTTCAGAAAAAGTGAACCCGATTTTTTTGACTCTACAATCATGCATGCAAGAAACTATGAAGATCCAAGGAGCAAACAAGTATAAAATCCCACATTTGAAGAAATATGTTTTGGAGAAAGAAGGAAACTTACCTTTACAACTAACTTGTGATCCTATCTTGGCACAAGATGTAATAAATTATTTGTCTACTTAAGTGTTTTTTATAACTATGTTACATTTACGTTTGGTTTGCATTACATTAGTAGAAAAACCTTTTTAATTTATTTCTCTCAAGTTTCTCTTCTTCTCATTTATTTTTTTCAAGTTCATTATATAACCACTAATGATTGTAAGAGACAAAATCAGAATAAAAAAAAAATATTTCTTAAATAAAACTGAGATGGAAAATAAACAAACATACTTGAAACAATATAGTTTCTTCAATCTCTTTATCTGGATGAAGCTCTCCCACTTCATAATATATTTTGTTCAAATCAAACTCTCGCATCGTTGCAGATTTTTTGTCATGAATCCTATACACATCCCTTGATTCTTCTTTATCGGAAGATTTTACTTCGCAGACATTCATGTCACTTGATTCTATTTCTTCTTGCTTCACTTTTGTCTTGCCATGTTCGTTCATTTTAGTTTCTGGAAAAAAAATATTAGAAAAGAACAAAGAAGTGATACATTTCAGTGTTGACAAGTAAGGAGAATATAAATAGTGCTCTTTGGATAGGTGTAAGATAATCGTTAATTGCATGCAATAGTAATTGTTTGACTTTGAGATTTCTCTTACCAACATTAATTTATTAGTCATGCACATGAGGACATATATTCTTGGAACTTCTATTTTTATAAAACCAAAGCATTAATTAAACCCAAAACATCAATCTTTTATATACAAAGAAAAACACTAAAACATCTTATATTCAAATACGGAGGGAGTAGATAACAAGAAAAAAATATTTTCACATATTGAGTCATTTCTAATCTTCCAAATAGTAAAGATATTTTTCACATGCGTAGTTTGGGAAAGGGAATTACAATATTCTAACATAATCCAACATATAATTAGGACAAATATAATGTTGTATGCGATAATACACACAACATTAATTGTCAAAAAGATAAAACAGAAAAAATTCAAAGACCTAGAGTGAAGGGGACCTCACTTGTGATTTGGGAAGATAAGAAAAAAGCTTGAACCACCATTTGGTTATGGTTTCTCCGTCATGATTCTCACCGCCGGTTTTCGAATCAATCTATGTTTCGGTCTGCCGCTGAATTGGTGAAGATTCCAATTGGTAATTTTCCATTAGAATATGTTGTTTTGCATCTAAATTGGTTTGTTTGATCATACGACAAAGCTTCAAACTTTGGTTAGGGTTTCGTGTCTTTCCAAATTTGTGCATAAGCGTATCTGATGATTTTAGCATTTTCTAGGGATTTTGGGTGTGGAGTCGAAGGTAGAGATGAATGATGATGATGATTCGATCAAGAAGGATCATTGTGGTGGTGTAGATGATGATGAAGAGGTTGTTGTTGATATATTGAAATGCTCTTGATTCATCTTTGATTCATCTTATATAAGAATAATCTTGATTCATATTTGATCAAAAGCTTTCAAAACAAATGTTGTACTGGTAACAAACAAAATAAGAGCAAGATGTAGCGTAAACGATTCACATCTTTGATCAAAAGATAACACAAACGTTTCTCAAAATTTATTGATTATTAGAATACGCCAAGCTTCTTATCCAACTCGATGGAAAAGTGAGGCGGAATCTTGAAGTTCCATTTCTCCTTTTTCGCTTTTTCATCTTTAAGAAAATGAATTGGCGGTGTTTCCGGCGGCATAGGCGGCTTTGCGCTTCTTCTTAAAGAAGATGTTGAGAAACTTCATTGGAATTTCAAGTTCTTACGTCGGATCGATCTTGGAAATGATTGATTTGACAAAATACAATATAACTTTATCATTGTACTATAAATATACATTTTATTGTAACGAAATAATTTACTATTTTGAAGAAAATGATATATTACAATTTTGTTTTATGTAGATACAATCAACCCAAATGTTAAACATTATGGTTTGATTGTTCTCTCACAAATTAAGTTTCTAAAAGTAAAAAGAAATAAAGTAAACTAATTTTTCAGTTTATTTTTCTAGATAAACTATTTAAAGATTCAAGGAAATAAATATGTAGATTTACTTATGATTCTATAAGTACTATTGTGGTATCGTTGAATTTAATCTTTTTGTTGTATTTACATTTGTGGTTTGTTAATTTTGGCTAACACAATTTGAGTGGTTCAAGTAAAATCCACAATCAATAAGTTAACAAAAAAGAATTGGAATTTATACATTGTTTTAATGTGTTTACCTATTTTTAGATATAAACATTTTTGTGTGTTTACCTAATATTAACAAAACTTAAAATTTTTAATGATTGTTTTTGCATTAGAAACATTATTCACCACTGTTTTGGGATAGAAAAATTGTTTTGCTTGCTTACGGTTGGTTTGACTGATCAGTTGTAAGCTCATGTTGTGTATTAACAAGCTTATTATATGGTATGTTTTTGAAAAAAATTTCTCACATGTGATCGGGTAGTGATGTGGTAAGTATTTATGTTCATTACATTTGACATTAATGTAATCTTCATATAAGATTGCTAACATGTAACTACAAAGGTAGCATCAGAATTCACCTTCATAATCTTCTATAGAAAAAAAATCTGTCAACATATTTCATTTTGATCAATTATCATTCAGATTTCATTTGATTCACATAGCACACGACTACTAAATCAATTTATCACACATAAAATCAGAAAAACCATAGTTATCAAATAAAAGTTTTCTTAGGAATTGATTCAATACAAATCTTCACATGACTCACTAAATCAATTAGATAACACATTAATATCATTTATGTGAAACCTAAACCTTATAGCTCTAAATGTTAGAACATTTTCATCAGGAACAAAAAAATAACATGTTATGGTGGTTTCTTCTGTTATACAAGAAAACTTCCACAATGTTTTGCTTGTTTGGCGGGATATGATTGTTACACAACTGAGAGTAAAACTTCATAAGACAACTCAAGCTTTTTTTTATTTGTTTGCATTTAAAAATCTTAGCTGCTGAATCAATTTGAGACAAGACAATAACAATTAATCTTTTTCAACTTATATTGCTAGCTGATAAGGTTACTTGGTTTCAACAAAAAGCAATTTTTTTCCTGGAAATCTAATGCTTTGTAGTATATATTGCAACTACATTCACCCACCTGATCTTGTTATTTTACTAAAAGTGCCTAGAATATAGCTCTATTGTACATCGACTTCACAAGGATAATCAGTAGTTTGAGTTCCTTTAAGGCTTCATTAATGATGTACCAGGACCTTTGTAACTCTCCAAAAGTGATAATGACGATGATTCTTTGTTAGCATAAATATGTTGTTGTTGGTTATCATTTTTTGTAACCCGAGTTCGCTTTCTAGGTGCTTGAAGCATTTATCGACTTCATCTTCTTGAGAGTCTTGATGAGCCTTTGGAGCCAAATTGTTCTCTGGTTGTTGGAATGAATCTGAACCATTAATGGATCTTCTTTAACGCTCCACTAAGAAGAAAACACTCCAAAGAAAGATACTTACTATAAAGTGAGAGCTTGAATTTACCAGAAATGTTTCGCTAAGTGAGAAAGAGTTTACATTTCCTTCTCCCTTGTTTTTAGGGAAAATGTATTAACTTTTGAGCTTGTTAGTATGTTGAGAAACTCCATTGCAATTTCAAGTTCATACGTCGGATCGATCTTGGACATGATTGGTTAGACAAAATACAATATAACTTTATCATTGTACTATAAACACACATTTATTGTAATGAAAGAACTTACTATTTGAAGAAAATGATATATTAAAAAACAAATTTATGTAGATACAATCAAAACATTTTTAAACATTATGGTTTGATTTTTCTCTCACAAATTAAGTCTCTAAAAGCAAAAAGAAACAAAGTAAACTAAGTTTTCAGTTTATTTTTCTAGATAAACAATTTAAAGATTCAAGGAAGTAAACATGTAGATTTACTTATGATTCTTTTAGTACTATTGTGGTATCGTTGAATTTAATCTTTTTGTTGTATCTACATTTGTGGTTTGTTAACTTTGGCTAACTCAATTTGAGTGGTTCAAGTAAAATTTACAATCAATAAGTTAGCAAAAAAAAAAAAAATAGAATTTATACATTGTTTTAATGTGTTTACCCATCTTTAGATATTAACATTTTTGTGTGTTTACCTAAATTTAAATATTAAAAAAATTAAAATTTTCAATGATTTTTTTTTTTTGCATTAGAAACATTATTCCCCACTGTTTTTGGATTAAAAAATTGTTTTGCTTGCTTACAGTTGGTTTGACTGATCTAGCAGTTGTAAGCTCATATTCTATATTAACAAACTAATTATATGGTATGTTTTTGAAATAAGTTTTCTCATATGTGCTCGGGTAGTGATGTGGTAAGTTATTATGTTCATTACATTTGACATTAGTGTAATCTTCATATAAGATTGCTAACATGTAATTAAATTAAAGGAGATATCGACAATTTAATTAGAGGAGATATCAACTGAAATAATAATAGTAGAACATCTCTTAAATATTATAAATATATAATAATAGTTATAAACTCATTTACTATTTGGCTTTACGGTCAGGAAAAAAATATCCGCGCTTTTTAAAATTAATTCAAATCTTATATAATAAAGTTGGGTTTTCTCCCTTCTCCTTGTGCCACATCAGCAGCTGGATAGGGGCAAAAAATGACACCTAAGCACTTAACAGAAATACTCACGACGTCACTTTTCTTCCAGTTTTGTTTTCTTGAACTGGGCTTAAATTATTTCTGATGCAATTTATTTGGGCCTCTATCGATTGGTGAGAAGGAAAGTTACTAAACAGATTTTACCTTAATCTACAAAAATTGTTTTCTTCTCCAAGACCTGGTCAATGAACTTGTGTTGATCAAACGACTATGAAACTCCGATTGGGTTAAGGGGAACGATCATTTCCGGTGGAAACCGCCGTCCGTGTCGCTTCAAGTTCTTCTAAGTGGCTAGCGCAATCCGGAACCGTTACAGAACTCCATTGCATTCAATCATTGTCATTAACACAATCTCGCAACTCCTCACACGATTTATCATTCAATACATCCCCTGTTTTATTCCCTTCTGCGAATCTACACTTAAATATAAGAGTTTCTTTATGTGAAAATCATCATTTCTTTAATCTCAATAGTTACCAAACTTTTAGAAGTTAGAATAACAAACTTCGCTCTCATGTTCTCCGACTTGAAAGAAGGTTGTTGTAGCACCACCGTAGAGATACGCCTGTTGAGGTTTTGGGAGTCGAGACCTCTCCCTCGGTAAATTGGGTTTGTATTTCTTCTCTATATAACGATCTCACTCGCTTGGAAGTTTTGAACTTTTGTGATTGACTTGCTTGACAAACACTACAAGAAAACTAAGCCATTACTAGGAAAATTTACTAGGAAAACATTTCCTCGTAAAAATACTACTAGTTTACTTCGACTTTACGAGGAAACATCTTTTCCTCGTAAGGTTCTCGTAAACTTACGA